TTCCTTCCAAGCAGGGGGAAGGCGGCCTTCATCAAGCGACTGACGAAACACCAAGTGTAAATGGTTAGCCAGTGTGGAGGAAGTTTCTTTCAGGATCCTTGGATGGACCTCGTCGGGCCCCAACGCGCAGAATGGGTTGATCTTGTGCAAGAGTTGACGAATGTCCTCCACCGTGAAACAGGATCACTAACTCATGGACTAACACACACTCCTTCGCCACAGCTCCACGAGTAGAGTTAGTCGTTGTCGTTAAGTGAATTCCATCCACCTGGAAAGAAAATGCATAAAGGAGGTGCTCCACTCCTTAATTTCTTATCGCTAGACACCAAGTTCTCCAGCGCGAGGATTGACAAACGCAGTTGAAACTGATTTCAACTGGATCCCAGGTACAGCATGACGAATGGTTGGATGAAGGCCATTTTGCAAACCAAACTGTAACAATGTTAAAAGACTGCTGAATAATGAAATTTGGCGTCCTGTGATTACGGATCATTCCGGAAGTTGCGCTCAGTACTCGTGCAATGCAGTTGAATTTTCGAAAGCTACGACGTGTCCATGATGGTCAAAAGAGACAGGCGACTGAGTCCAAAGTACAGGTATAAATTATTTGAGCCTCATTTAGGCGTCCAGGGGTCTCAGGAACGCTGAGAAACTATTCCATCAGTCATTATCCACCAGAGGTATGATCGGTTCAGTGGACAGTCAAATTTGGTGAGCTGAAAAATATTGAATGTAGATTAGGATGCTTCCTGTTTTGAGCGTATTCGCCACATAATACGGTATTTCGGCACGAAAGGTTTTATCCCACTCTCAAAGGTTTTGAGGCGAAGAGCATTGTGCTCCCATATTGTGCTCCCGTATTAATGAGGGGAACGGCAAAATACCTGTCGGCCAAAAACTGTTCAAACACGGAGTAAGTAGATTCCAGGCCGCATTGGGTACCTGTTCATTCAGAAGAATGAGTTCAAGGATCTTCAGACTTTGTCCTTTATCAACGGATTTGTGCCATCTTCAGTGCCGTCCAATGTGGTTGTGTCCGACATACTACTGAGCATAAAACTTGGGTAGTTTATTTGGGAAGGGATTTAAGGCAGACTGCATGGGTCACCTGGAAGTTCATGCCAGTTATACGGGGAGAAGTGTCCCGTATCTTCAAAGAAAAACGGAACTTATTTGAAGCGGTGCTCTGAAAACACTTGCCCGAAGTGAGTTCTACAACTTGCTGCTTCGGGCACCTAGCCTCATTCTAGCTTTCGCTTCGATACAACACAGGGCGGATGCTAATATCGGGCCTTATGTGTGGCGGATTCGGGCACGCGTTCCGCGGAGGCTGTCAGTGACCAGTAATTTGGCTGGTTGACAGTGAATTGAAGTGCACTAGCAAAAGTAGACATCGAATTGAATGAGCACCCGATAGGCCTTTTTACACAGACCACATTTAAGACTGAACCCAACGTAGTCATAGAAGAGCTCTAATTGCGAACGATCCGAAATTGGGGCTGATTCAACTTTTAGTCGAAATGTTCTGCCTCAAACGAAGTCCTTAACCCAGCGTGGAGTCGCTGACCGAATCCTACAAGTTTCAAGTTTAAAGGTCAAAGTAATGTGTAGAACTCTATCGATCGCTCTCAAGCAGTTGAAAAATATCGCATCCGATATGGCCCTTTCGATTTCGCCTTGTGTTAAGCTGTCCACGAATACGAGCACATTCGTCATAGAAGAACTGTATTGAACGAATAAACTTTTCGCCGAGGGTGTAAGGTTGTAGGTAATGGAGTGATTTAGAATGGCGCACTTCGGAGCACGCTCCACCACTACTACATTGGGTATGCGAGCGGGGCTAATAGTCTTATGGCTACCTGGCGAGAATCGGTCATCAGATTTGTATATTAGTGCGGTAATGGCTTCTTTCAAGCTGGAAGTGGGTTAAGCATAACAGATTTGACGAACATAGCCTAGAAGTATTTAGCAAAGCTGAGCGAAAAGCACTTCGGCATGCTTGGGCACACTTCATCTGGCCCCAACCTGCAGAACAGAATTGTCTTGTGCAGAATTCTCCTCAAAAATATTTTCGGTCAGATTCCAGTTGCAATTTGGTATGATTGGATGTGATGAGGCCACCAAGACAGAATACGAGCCTTATAGTTTTACCACTGGGATTCAGATGTCATTGTTATGCTTGTGGATGGTCTTTTATTTCTCTCTCTTTAGATGATGGCACTCGGCTTGTTTCAGTGACGATGTCTGGGTTATTTAATGGCGCAGTTTGTTCTCCCCGTGTGCTTATATCGTGATTAGTTCTAGCTGATCTATGCTCTACACTATCATACAGAATGCCAGCTCGCATCCGGGTTCTCAGGTGGTTGTCCTTTCGGGAAATATTTGAAGCGCGTTCACTGAAGTCGACGAATCCTTCTGGGTAGCTCATCGTTCATTCGTCTACGCGCTGGTTTCCTTGGTAAGAACACCGCACCAGCTCCTGAATATTCTGGGGCATTGTCCCCTACCTCTCCGCTGAAACGTGTCCAATCTCAGGCTGGTCGAGAAAGTTACGCAGTCATAGCGGATCTGCCAGACGGAAATTTCAAAGCCGCGTCTGCGCGCCGGTGCCTCATTCACAGAAGCGAATGAAGTCGTAAGACATCACAGAGCAGTCACTGGGTTCCAGGGGAGCTCAAACATTACTTTATAGCCAGATCCAGTGTTCGCGTGTGCTGTACACGTTGGGTGTGACAGGTCGCGCCTATGTGCCTTGCTTCCGACGTAAATCAGCGCCAGTACGGAAGGTTTACAAGACTCGAGGAGCAGAAACTACGTCCAAGAATGTTCCGGGAAACTGAAGCCACAGTTCGGCCAAAAGATGCGTAATGCGGAGGCTGGAGGAGAGCTGAATAGATGTTAACGTGAGAAAAAAGTTAGTCCCGGCAAAATTGATGGAAATGTAAAAGGTACGGAGGGCAAGATAGTCGGTTGCGCGCAGCAGAATTTGAATCCACGTTGGATGAATTGTCGAGACCTGCACGTCAGTTCTGGGTGTTAGTCGGCCAACTGCTCGTCGTAGTGACGGCCGCGCGAAACTGGGAGTCCTGCTGAGGGTATGTTTCAATGCTGCGCATTATCCATGGGCTTCAACCTTCCGACCACTGCATCAATTTCGAGAGAAGTTTTCCTCAATAACTGGGAGACTGCCATTATCCCAGCGGTTCGATAAAACGCGGGCGGAACAAAGCATTTGCCGATGACGGGCCTAATGCACCTGGCATTGCAGTCGCTTATGCCACATAGGTTGCAAGAGTGGCAGTACTGGAGCAGCACTGTTGGGAAAGGGTAGCGTAAGACTTATGTCCACTGGTGGTACAAGGTTCATCTACTTAAACAGGTGCGGTTAGGAGCCTGGTAGCCTGTCATCCCTCATTGTCAGGGCTAGTGCAGGCTAACATAAATGCCTTTTAACTTCTTTATGGAGAAAAATTTATTTTTTATAACGCTAATGGATTTTATTTTGATTCTCAGCTTTATGCGGCTGACGCGAACATCAATCATCGAGGAAATAATGCAACAGTAAAGACGGTAGACATATGGGAAGCCGAAGATATTTGGGTTCTACTAGACAGGCGCACCATGAGGACCTCTTGACTCGCATACTCACAAAGGTAGTAGAATTGCGATCACCCGCAGCATCCGACAACCAGTCTAAACATTTCTCAAACTTCAACAACCAGACTAATGAATGCAGTCATATTCGTTAAGTACGGACATGAACGCATAAGTCTGACTAACGTGGCACAGTTTATGCTTCAAAGTTAGCCGCGGATAACCTCTGTTCCGACCCATCCCGAGATGTGCGTGGACATCTTTCATGCGGAATTTTTTTAATCTCATTAAAAATTCTCTTAATGTGAATGATCATGAGGTCGACATAAGCATGTCAAAATTAAATCCAGTTCCATTCACAAGATATCGACATCTAGACGTAGATTGCCAAGACAAATACCTGAGACGTATTTTAATGTGACATTTTTATTTCGTGTCAGTTGATTCCGGCACTGGAACTAGTATGCAAGCCTTCGACCTTTTGTCTGTGCAGAAATCTCTTGAGCTTACTGAAACTAGCGCCCAACGCTCATGTCTAGTGCTATCCCAATATAGCTTGAACACGCAACCGTGGTTTTACTGCGTCAACAACCAACTTTCCGTTTCGAATGTAGGTGAAGGCCGTTGCGCCACTTTTCGAATTTATTATCTGGTGGCCGCGCCCATGCGCTCTCGCGAACTCTACTTATCACAACAAGTACAATCGCACTATTTGTGTTCTGATTTGTAGATAACATTATGAAACTCCGATTGGTCCATGGTTGTACTCTGTCGGTTCTGAACTGATGCACTGATGAACTGGTGAAATGCAAAAATCCATTATTTAATGGAACACTAGCTGAAAGATCAAACTTCCCTTGCCACTCTCTAACAATTTCCCGGACTGATCTTATCCACTGAATATTTTTGCTAATATCCCAACAATGGACTCATGAGGGCGAAACCTTATTCAATGGGCCCGAATCGCACAACGCGGCTGGTGAGTTCGCTTCGGGTTGCGTAAAGGAACACATGGGAATAAGCTTCTCCTGCTGCCGTAAATCAAAAGGAACCACACGTACGCGTAAGCTGAATTCAGACATTTCTCATTATTAAAATCGCCTTTTGGCCAGTTTGGCCCCATTGGTTCCTTTGAATCAACCGATCGGTAATGAAGGTTATTTGGCCCAAATTTTTTCTGTCAAAAAGAGTGATTGATAACTTTATGGGCTTTTGTAGTCCCGTATTCTGCCAACCACGTCTTTAGTTAGACCCGCTTCTGTTTTTGATAGAGTGGATTAATCTCACTTGCGTAAAATACTTTTCTCTGTTGTTTTATTTAGGGATTACCATTGACGATATGCCGAATACCTGATACACACCGATTTACTTGTGGACTAACAACCTTTATACAACAAATCTCTGGGCGGGGGACTACTTCGTCCAAACAGACTGCCCGGTTTGACCTGATCACCTTCTAAGTTTCGTTCGAGAGGGACATCTCAAACTTCGCAGCTTTCAGCGCAATACCGAGACCATTTAATTATCAGCAAAAACTTTGCCATCACAAATATCCACAGTTGTTTAATATAGCTAAAACACATAACGAAACTAACGTATTAAACAAAAGCTTTGCTTATCTCTTTGGTCAAAGTCAGTTTAATTCTAGGCATTAATTATTAGAACCAAAGCTTGATTGATTGGTTGCGGACGTGAACTTTTGCTTAACGTAAGAAATATCCTATGTTATGTGTTTTCATATGTCGTAAGTTTCTTTTCTCAAAGTATACACGGTGTCTAGTTTATATAATGTTTTATGGTGAAGACTACCATCAATAAATACTTTTGTTGGTGAATTGATCACATCGTTTTGATTGTATCACTGCTTGTATACCGTTTGCTATGCTTCAAAAGGCCTCTCTAAAATTTATCAGTCTTTTAACGGAATACGCTTATTTGCAAACTAATTTGGTTTTGCGAGAGACTTACCTGAAAACCAGCGGAATCACCCGTTTGTGATGTTTCCAGCTTTTTCCTTCACACAGTACTTTGCAGAATGTGCTAGCCAGTTATGAATCAGTGTTGTTTCGTACATCTGTATTGTGAAAATGCGCAAAACACTACAAGGATTCTCCTTGTGACTTTTCCTATTGTGGTGAATCACGAACATTTCCAGCTTTCATTATTTAATATTGTGTTGAAAGCACCTAGCACTTGTCTATCACAAAGGATGAACGTGTGTACACGAACAAATGTGCAGCAACATGAACTGGAAACAGCGTAACACCAGCGTAAATTGGTATCATCATTTACATTCGCGGTACTAAAGTGCTTTTCGATACCGAAGTCACCTTTCCAACAAAAGCTAAGCTGACTCTAAACCGGGTCCTCAGAATGTTGCAGTCCGTTTCGTACATTTTGACACGTTGATGTTAGTGAAATAAATAATATTTCTACGTCAAAGCAAGTAAATTAGAAACTTCCCTTCTTTGCCGCCCAAATAATTGCTTCGCTAAACTCAAGAACTCCTTTGGTGTCCTCTGCGAGTGCCTAATTACATCAAAAATGCTATTGAGGAAACAATAAAATAATTAGGGTTCCGTTGTAGAAGCTCTTTACTGCACAGTTGCCATGCAACTCGAAGGCAAACTAGACTAGCCTCTGTCTCTCATACTTGGTCGGTCAGCGGTTATGACTGAGCAGCACATTCTTCTGGACATTCAACTTGAATTATGAAACAAGCATGGCAACTTGCTTTTTAAAAGTTCCTATCTCGGATTTTCGCATAAAAGTATTCCGATGTAGACCCCAGTCGTACCGTCCATGTTTTGGTCCTCAATTCCTGTGCAACTATGATCCACACACACTGAATTAACGTTTGCCACATTAACTGTTACCTGATATCATTAACCAATTCGGGCTTATTGCTAATTACACAGAAAAGAGTGATCCAGAAGATGTTGATGCTGGCGTCTTCCTTTTTTTCTTTTCACATATTCGTTAATTTTATCCAACTCAATTATTGTAAGCTCATCTGTTAGAGCTAACGAGCAAGTTTGTCATATATTACCTCTAGATGTGATATCTGCACGTCAGTCAACTCCAACCTACACGGGAACTTTGAGCTAATTTTCATGAATCAGCTAAATCTTATTAGATTACTTTAAGCCTATTAACCCTTACGCAAGTGACAAAACAGACTAGTTTTTGAAATAATGTCTCTTACTGAGACGAACTTATGTTGCGCAGCAAGTACAGGAAGTTTATATCAAAGTGTAATCATTGAATTAATTATATGAGCAACGATCTGTCGATCAACTGTTCAGCTGTGACTATCTTTTGGTGCCTAGATGCCATGCTACCAGAACTACGAGAGCTAAAATACTTCCAATTTTCCTGAACATAGACAATAAAACTCAAGATGTAGAGATCGGGTTTGAACCACGGGCCGTTCAGTTATTAAACGCGCACTTTAACCACTGATCCATCCCACCCCCTATCTATCTATCTATCTATCTATCTCTATCTATCTATCTATCTATCTATCTATCTATCTATCTATCTATCTATCTATCTATCTATCTATCTATCTATCTATCTATCTATCTATCTATCTATCTATCAACCTATCTATCTATCTATCTATCTATCAACCTATCTATCTATCTATCTATCTATCAACCTATCTATCTATCTATCTATCTATCAACCTATCTATCTATCTATCTATCTATCAACCTATCTATCTATCTATCTATCTATCAACCTATCTATCTATCTATCTATCTATCAATCTATCTATCTATCTATCTATCTAATCTATCTATCTATCTATCTATCTAACTATCTATCTATCATCTATCTATCTATCTATCTATCTATCTATCTATCTATCTATCTATCTATCTATCTATCTATCTATCTATCTATCTATCTATCTATCTATCTATCTATCTATCTATCTATCTATCTATCTATCTATCTATCTATCTATCTATCTATCTATCTATCTATCTATCTATCTATCTATCTATCTATCTATCTATCTATCTATCTATCTATCTATCTATCTATCTATCTATCTATCTATCTATCTATCTATCTATCTATCTATCTATCTATCTATCTATCTATCTATCTATCTATCTATCTATCTATCTATCTATCTATCTATCTATCTATCTATCTATCTATCTATCTATCTATCTATCTATCTATCTATCTATCTATCTATCTATCTATCTATCTATCTATCTATCTATCTATCTATCTATCTATCTATCTATCTATCTATCTATCTATCTATCTATCTATCTATCTATCTATCTATCTATCTATCTATTTATTCTATTTATTTATGCACTAATAGCAATCTAACATTCAATGATTGAGATTTTTCCAAATTATAGAGCATAAAGTTCTTTGCTTCTCCTAATATTCTCTGATGCCGCTTCGGCAACGCTAGTGAAGAAATTCTACAGATGAAAACGGATGTTTGCTCGTTTGAATGCTTGTGGTCTGACTGGCTCTACCCAAATGTTAGCAAGGGCATTCTTTAATTCAAAACGACTGCCCTGTGAAGACGAACTAGAAACCTAAACACTGTAGTTACCAGATATTCAAGCGCACAAGGGAAGGATGTAGGGTAAGGAAAACTTAGTTGAGTGGTGAACGTAGACTCGTTATTTACGAACACTGGCAAAAATCGACTAGGCTATATGACGAAAGCGAAGCGCTTCTGTGATACACTGGTATCCAAAACTGCCAAGAGTTTCCAGACACTTGGCCTACGTCGACAGAGTGTCAGTACTGGGAACAAACTAAGCATGTTATGATTAGCTGCCAATAATATGGATCGGTCCTTTTGAAAACTTGCGTGAGTTATGATTACACAGGCTTTGCTATTTTTGGAGGCACAAGCTGCGAACATCATCCTTATCCACCAGGCATCCAGCCAGTTGCAAAGTCGAAGGAATTTTTGGAACCATCATCCTGCTGTCGCGCCGTCTAATACCAGTAAGTAGTAGAAGAAGATTGCCATATCCATGACGGATGGCGAGGGTTTGGCCTGTGACGCGGCACAACTATCTTTACTCAAGAACCAGACATTAGACGGATGAGCAGCAACTACTCTCACAAGTCTCGACGAGACTTCAAAGGATGGTCAATATGAGCACTAACCGAATGTTTATAGCTGATAAACCGAAAGTCAAAATTGACATGGAACACCAAAAGCAGAAAAGAATCTCAGGAATGCAAGAAATCTGTTTCTATTAGACAGGTTTCAGCCTACAAACTACCATCCTCCTACTTGTGATACCTTTTAATCCCAATTTTCAGAACCCAGGAGTACCCTCACTGGCGATCTATGTGTAATTTATGCGCTTTCATTTCAGAAGAACAAAGAGTTCCGGACAATTAGAGTAAATTGGTTGTCATGTGTGTTGTAACATGAGGCGAATGCGGGGCATCCTTTATTTGCACAGATGCACATTATATTCACATAAACCATCCACGGGTTTTTAACATTGTTCCAAAATATAAAACCGTTACGTCTAATTATTAGTCTTTTATAATCTCGTGAGATTCAAAATAAAATGGATCGGATAAAATATGCCGTAGAAGAAACATTGAACTGGCATTCGCACATGGATATTGCGCGCTAGTGAGTAATACTACTTCAACTTTCGAATATGCACATTTTAGCGGCCAAGTTTTTCAAAGGATTTTTATTACCCTTCATTTCAAGAAGCAATCAAATTGTGACTCATTTTTGCAACCCTTCTCTGACTGAGGTTTGGCGAGTGGCAGTAATCGCATTCCTGAATTTTCCGCAACAATAAGAACCAATCTGTCGTCGCGCATCGAGCATGAATGACCATTACTACCGAATCATCCGTTTTTGGTTAACTGGTTTTGCTACCCAAAGTGTGACAGATGTCGTGGACGGGCAGTGACTGAGGAGAGATATTGAGAGGAGATATTGTTAATAATCAGCTTCATTTTACCTACGCCTTTTTGCTTCCCGGGACAAAAAGGCTTTCCGCATATTCAGGGTATCAAAATTGATCACGAGAGCTGACTGGTGGAATGGTTCCATAAACTGTTCTACTGTTCACTAAAAGCGCGGTTGATTCCATGAAGGATTGTCTATTATAACCAGTAAGAGAATGATTTTTAGAAAGACTTCTATAGTTCCGGTTGGCTTTTTTCGCCACTCAGCTCTGTCATTCGTCAAAAGGAATCTAGGTTTGTATACTTTTTTGTTCTCTTTGTGCGTATTGGCGCTATAACATTCTTTGATTTAACCTCTTCTAGAGGCATGCTGCAAGTAAATTAATATGATTTTAAGTGTTCGAACACAACGCCTTCATTCTAACACTGTACAATAAGAACTATGTCGCTCAAGGTACGTTATACTGCTCTATCAAGCAAGTATCGCTATTTTCACTATTTGTGATCTGATTGTATAATTTTTTAAATTATTTTTGCACCCTTTTCTGTGATTCTCGGTCTAAATATATGAGGAAACGACTATATTCGTGGTTGGTGAACTGTGAGCTAGGAAGTTGAAAACAGATTGCAGATTTCCTGGTGTATTTAGAATTAATCAGAACGCTCGCTCCAATTAGTGAGCCTTTGCATTGAAATTTGCTTCTTGTGCTGCACAGTGCTAAACTTTTATCAGACAGGTTATGAGACATCCAGACACAACGCAAGGGAGGGAGTTCAACATAATAGTCAACTTTCTTGTGTAAAAACATTTGTCTGGATGCGCAAGCTCTGATATGGCTGTGAAACATAGGTGTAATTACTGGTCTTTCTATGCACGATCCTGATGACTTTGTATGACTTTTCAGCCGTATGGGCTGTTTAGGAGATTTACTGAATAAATCACCTTCCAGCATGAACTTTTATTCATTTTTAACTAATCTATTTCTACCCAGGATTTTGTCAGCTTAAATCCGGGATATGGACAAGTTTGAGCTTTCGAATATATTTTTCTGCCTCGTGCAACAGTTGACTAAAAATTTGATGAGCTGTATTAAGTTGTTCAGTGTTCGCAAATACTTTGTAGTCCTGAACTAGAGCCTAATTCCGCCACATTAGCCTTTGGAGATTTACTTTTGACGCCAGAAGTTGATCTGTATCGAATTAGTTACCTTTTAACCATTTCAGACGTCTGATTAAGCCAGTTGGTTCCGTTTTGGTAAAACCCATCAGTCTATGTTTAACCGGTCATTACGGTTGGCAGTTGGTTATTCAGTACCAGATACAAAGAAGAGGCATGTTTGTCTTTTGATGAAACAGCCCATTCCCATCAACTCAGGTTTTCGTTCCCACAAACGTTGACAAAATGTTACCTGGCATCATGTGAAAAAGTTTCTGCAACGCATACACGGAAATGTTCGATTCTCAAGAATCATATGTTGCCCGACTAACACTTCTTAAAATCGGCAACGCTGTAAGCCACGCCTGTGTGTCTTTCTACCATTGAAAATTAACCACTCCCTGGTATTTCCTCCATCTCCGGAGTGACCGTCTGTGCAGACTGAAAAGAAGCGACTGCTTCTGAAAACCAGTCTCTTATGAAAATGGTTTTCTAGGTGGTGAACAACTGCAATCTGTTTCACGGTGCTGATTCCACAGAACTATTTTAGTTCCTGGTAGATATTGCCACTATCCGAAAGTATAATTTATCGGGTTGTTCAGATATATCTTTTCTGTCCGTCACCCAATAGGCTTAGGCCTCGAAAAGATATCCACCATTTGAGAAAAGCTTCGATATGGTAGTTATGGAAGCGATTCTTTTGGAATTCTACGTTCAGTCGTATTTTTATAAAAAGGCCTCTTTATCTCATAAAGTACGGCACTTGATAGTAAGCATACTTACCAAAAAATGCTGCACTTTCTGATCTATGATCTGAAAGATTTTTTACCCACGTTTACACCTCGTTATGCCTTTTTGAAGGGAATACACTCAAGAGGGATTTCTCACCTAAGTTGGTCAGTTTTTGTTCACAACCTTCAGATGATCTCCAGAAACCACTCGAAGAAATAGATAAAAACAGCATTTTGGGGGGATGTTCTCTACACCATGAAAAGGTGTGGTGATTGTTTACAATAGTAGCAACAGTTGAAAAAACAGTTTTAAGTTGGATGGGTCATAACATAGAAAACGTGACCCACAATTTTTGTGGGACGGGCTACTTAAAGCTCTACGGCTTTGCTGATCTTTCTCCCACAGTGTAATCTGTGACAACTTGCTTATACGCTGCGACCTACACTGTTCATTTTTTACTCCACTGTTTTATCTCAGATTGTCAAAGTTGCTGTTAAGAATCATTGCTCGTTCTTTTTTCAGGTCCTCAGGAAAAAATGAACCAGTTAAATGAAGACAAACTATGCGCCTTCCTTAAACGACATCCACATATTGTCGAACGATATGTTGTAGAAAATTGCACTCAGATGACGTTGAACCAATGGTCAAGCCAACTTGCAAAAAGACGGGTCGAACAAGATCTTTCGACTGGTGGGTAGATGGCAGTTTCTTATGGTAATTCGCACGAAGACATTTGTACACAGGTCTTTTGAGAACCGCCATACCTGTACTGATAACCAGTAGGTGTCATCATGCCTACTACATTATGTCATAAGGCCTACTTAAAATCGACATTACTAAAATGAAGTTCTAGATAGGGTTGTTTAGGAACTCCGGACTACTTTGTAAAGTAGGTTCTCTGCAAGATTGTTTCAGCTGGTCGGAGGGCGTACCATCAACTAGCATCTTTGAACCAATTATAGAAAGCGTCGTACAGCACGAACATTTGTTTGAATGTTTAACTGGTGCTCAGGTGTATAACTAATAGGTTAGGCGTTCGGTTGTTCAATGAACTCTTCAGGATGGAGTTTTATTCATGATCCATTTAAATACTGTGGGATGCACTTTCTCTGTCATGATCCATTTAAATACTGTGGGATGCACTTTCTCTGCCTCCAGCCAGTCTCCATTGAACGCTACATTAATTAGTTGACTGCACTTGATCTGGTCCTACAATTTTGTAGACCGTACACATCGGTTTTAAGCCAGCTATCCTCAATTAGTGGGTATCTTGATATGGGAAAGAAAGAAATCCTCACACATTGTGATACTGGAAGACTGTCTAAGGCAAAATACGCATAGCATCATTTGTTACTAGAATTCCAGCATCTTAAACGTCTTGACAATTTGGTTGAAGAAAAAGCCTGATGTGTGATGTTCATGTACAGACTTCCGCTTGTAGTAAGGTCAAAGTAGTCAATATGGGTCAGGTTCTTTTTAGAGTACCTTGTAGTCAGTGGTACGGCAAGTAAGGATTGCATCACCACATAAGTTGAGTAAGCCTACACTCAATACTAGCCCTCAGCCCCATCACAATTTTCAGTTTTGTTCCGTTTCTTTGTGTAACTTTTCTGTTGTTGAGTTGGCCTATATGAATTAGGCAAAAAAGTTAAACACTAATTGCAACCTAGTTGGGTTTCAAATAGTGAGTCAGGGATTCTGAAACTAAAAGTAGGGCTACTTAAGGTAGGTTGGTCAAATTAGAGGTACAAGCTTGCCAATGACTGCATCATTGTGCTTATCATCAATGAGATTTGTCATCCGTTGCCCAACCTGGTAGATGACACTCGCTACTTTTGCTACGTTATTCAGTCAAAACACTCATTACTTTGGTATTCGTGGTTGTCTAACCACTGCTTGTTAGTATTCAGCCTTGACCAACCTTCTCAGGCAGGCATAATAAACGATAGTCTTCAGTAAGCCTTTCAGTGAATGTGTATTTAGCCAGTTACTTTTGGATACCTGATCCACCGGCTTTGTAGCCTTTATGAAGTTTTCTGCCCCATGGTAATGGCCTAGCTACACAGAAGCACTGAAATGCCTGAGGTCTCTTCGATTGTGAGGAGACAAGACAGAAGAGGCCTTGCCCATCTACAGCATGATAACAGGAAAAAGCAGCATCTTCAGAGTATATTCTGAAGATTTAAAGTGCACATGACAATATTCATTATTCCGAACTACTGAAGGTGAAGAACAGCGTCAACACCGTGCTCAGCGGCAGTCAGCGTGTCATTCAGAAGAAGCCCTACTCATATAGACTGTCAGGCGATTCAGTTGTCTATCACGGATCCGGACAACAAGTGAATCTAGAATCCTTGATGGTTTCCATGTGATGTAGAGCACTTCATACAATGCCGTTATTGTCGGACAACCTCCAAGCACTAGAGAAAACAAAATGCGGTGATTGTACACTATCCTTACTCCGGAGCGGAATCTGAAATTGTTCATCAATAATGTTCTGTTCAAGTTGCAATACGGAATCAAAGCGTTCTTACCATTCTCAATGGTTCTATGCTGTGATCACAGTAAGCTTTTGAGCCCGGTCACCGGGACCATCATTCTGCATCTCCTATCTTCAGCACTGCTTGCCCCATTGGCTTGGTCAAATTCACATAACCATTTTGATCGACTCCTGTCCGTCTAGCCCTCAGACTCCGGGAGATCAAAAAACGCAATTTTACTCGCAGTCGTTCGTACATCGAAAGTGCGTTCATGAGCTCATCAAAACCACCTATAAGCGAGTCGTTTGATTCTTATGCCACAATTGAAACGAACTTACTCCAGTGGGTTATTACACAGTCCTCCCACAGGCCGCAGGTTTGCGCGAAAAACGAGCATTTCGCCCTGTTGTCAGAACCCCCAGGGGATGCGTTACTTTGACTGAAGCTTACACGCATTTTTGACCGTTGTAAAATAATCCATGCCAAACAGTTCACAGATTTATGTGACGGTATGGTATGGCTATCGATTAGTCAGAGTTCAGTCTCTAAACAGAAAGTTGCAGCCGACCTCCAGTAGTTACAAAAAGCAGTTTGATATTACACCATTAACAACGAAGAAATAGCTTATAATTTTTTTGCTGACTCCACCAACTGTCAAAATGATTTCTGTCCGACCTAAAACAACATCATATTCGTTCATTCTAAATGAATCACTCGGCAGAGCGGAAGACTCGGCGTTTAGTTCATTCTGTCTAGTGGTCTATACGCCCAGTACCGCTTGCGATGTCCTGATGATCAGAATTATTTTCCCCAGATCTCAGAACGTGTTCCATTGGCATAGAAATCATAAGGCCTGTTGAAACATTAAGGTTGTGAAATTCCGTTGGATTTAGAAGTCGGATGCGTTTCATCAAGTACAATGTGTCTGTTTTGATGTCCTTAATGGCACCGACCGCCTTTCGATAGGCTTCGATTACAAGCAAGTAGGCACCATTCTATCTCAGTTTAACATATTCCAGCCCACTAAGTGTTTGATCATAAACTGTGGCCGAAGTAGCTAGTTTCATCACTGTTCATTGACCTAGTGCGAAAGAGGCAAGATATGTCCCATGTTTCTCGTTTTTCTCGGAAGGATACGCATCCGGGAGAGTTGGTAACACCCGCGTAGGTTTCCTTGTTGACGAGATGAAAAGGACGTTGTAATAGTGTTGAGCGTGGAAAGTTTTGGAACGTAAATGCGGGTACTATATTTGTGAAGCTTCCGCTGTTAGTAGTATGTTTGTCTCACAATTTCACGTTAAACTGATACTATCTATGCCTTCTACTAATAACAGTGCTTTTCATTATTAGCCCGTACACCATAAGTCTCATTTTAAAAGCTTTCATAGATGGGTACTGATAAGAAGTGTGAGTGTAGATAACCACATTTTCTCTTACAAACTTTCACGATGCCCTTCGTTGGAATAATTCAGTGCAGTTAGGTTGGATTCTGTCTCAACTTTGGTACTGTCCCGATTAATCTAACTACGTTGTTATCTAGATGCCCTCACATCAAGGGAAGAGAAACGTACCTCTCGCCGTGTAGCCTCAACTTCTCATCAATCACAGTCGTCAGCAGTTATGTCCTGGAAACTGATCAAAGCAACCAGAGCGGGACAAAGCAATAAGCTACTAATATTCGCCACCTTAATCTCATCACTTTGTGAAAGTAAGTCTATCAGGTCGGAAAATAAGTTTTCGTTTTCTATCCCACATTAAGGGGTAGCCAAATCCGTAAGGCAAGTTCACTTGGTGTTTGCAAACTTTAATTTTCACGATTGCTGTTTTTGTTCCAACTGGGTTGTAACTTGCTCTCTACCAGTGGATGTTATCAGTTACTTTTAACGTTTGGTCTAGAAGTCAGTCGACATGTCAATCAGACCCACCTTCTAGAAGCTCAGGATGTGGGATTTGCTTCCTTGTATTTATCTACTTGAATTTCAAGGCTACCCATATAGGCAATGTTGTGGAATGTAGGTTACTCGCGTGCGCTGCTTGGTTGTTGGTGCGAGAAGAAAGCGGCAAAATCACAAGGGAACAACCACACGCAGAACTACCGAACTGAATGCGCCCAACGAACCAACCAGACACAGGAGATTAAGACCACATCATATTCACCGGAGGCCAATCAAACTACGCGAAGACCGCTTCCAGAACTGCCAGATGCTGTTTAGATGCTATATAATCACAGACAGAAGAGGAAGAATGTATTTATCCTCACCCCAGCACTGACGATGTCACCTCGATTGGTGATGAAAAGTTTACAATCCAGCTGACAAGCTCTGCGAACATACCAACAACCAAGCTACCCATATAATTAGTCGGTGGTTTGTGTGCGCGTATTCAAAGTACTTTCCATACTGAACAGCATTCCGTAGATGTGTTGGTTTTCCGGAGCAAACGTCCGTAGTTGAGCACGAAATGCAGACGTGCATACAAAGTGCAGGTTTATTTCTTGCCGTCTCCACCTGCTTTGCTAGTAACATTTTAAGATGAGTTTTTGATGGTGTTCTCCAATGACTCTATGTTTCAAGCATAGCCCCTGCTTATTCCGACACTTCCTCGGTGAATGTCCAGTGAATGATAACCTGACCGTATGTTTTTAGCTTAGTTAGCTTCCATTTTTATCATCTACTGTTGCTAATAGTCATAATAGGTCTTCCAACATATTAATGTGCGGTTGTGAGCTTGCGACCATGTCTAGTTTACTTGGCGATCTGGTTTTTATCACTGGCTGGGCATCTTGGTACAACCAGGCAGAATTCGAAAAATTTATCGGACCAGAGGGAGTGTATGTGGAATCTGTGCCCTATGGAATCTATCTGTGGAATCTGTGCTATACCCTTAGGAGTAACTGATTTCACATGCCAAAGCAAAAGATAAGCGATTGAAATATGTGAGGCTATAACTTTTGTGGAAGTATTTCATACTTCTGGTAACCTGTATACGAGAGCGAGGCTGATAATAACTACAGCTCCATCCCAGAAAACTGTGTTTAGTTTTTATCCATATACTATTCCCTCCCGTCATCCTACTCCTTCGAAGTTTCATCCGCCCTTCTTGTTCCAACGTTTTTCACCCTAACGGTCGGCCGTTATTGGGCCGACCATATTTATTTTATTATATAATAATATATCTTATATGTTATATGACAATATAACATATAATATATA